CTTTAATTTTATGTTGTTTAAATTTGCATTAAGATAGAATAATAGTTACCCGTCATCGTAGAAACACAAACTCAAACCTCTAAAAGCAATGATTTAATACAAAACTTAATATATGACTTAAACAGTCACAGTTCATGGAAAGAAAAGATCCTAACTAAGTGACTGTATTGTTGGCTTCTAAGTAGCAGAATATGAGTGGGAAAAAACTCATCTACATGGTTTAGAGCATAATAAATGACTATCAACATGTTAAAAATAGTCTCACTTGATTAAAAGTAAAGGTAAAAAAAAAAATTTCACTTACCTGGATGTGCTCACTAGATCCAATATAACGAAACTATCACCATCCCATTTCTTAACAGAAGCGAATACAACAGTTTTTGTTATCATATTTTTTTTATTAGTTTAACAATCATATTTAAACCCATTGCAAACTGTAATAAATAAAATTCATCATGAAAGATATTCAACATTAATATATGAGATATAAATATAATGAACAATACCATAAAAACATATCATACTATCAGAAATTGATTTATTATGGATGAAATTTTTCTATCGATAATTATCAATGAATTATCAATGAAATATAATTATAAATATATTCGATCATCACGATAAAATATCAACAAAATTTATTGATAGATTTCATTCTATCAATAATCTATAAGTAAATATTTGACAAAAATTAACGTAAAAGTTATTGACAAAATTTCCTATCGCTAAAAAATTTTTCTGAAAAAAAATTTTAAAGGTGGCCGATTAATCTGTCAGAAAATGAAAAAAATAAAACCCCTAATCCCTTAATTCTGAAAGCTTAATTTCCGCATTTTCAAAATCTCTAAACTCCCTTTCACTCTTCTCCCTGTCTCCCTCTCTCCACCGTGACTCTCCTCACCGACCGCACCTCTCTCTTGGCTGTCGCGCCAAAGCCAAGATCTTCTGGCGCATCGTTCGTGGGTCAGTTTTTAATTCTCTCTCATTCACTCTCTATTTGGCGTGTTTATTTTGTCTAATTTTATAAAATCAAGAGCTAAAGTGAAATAGGTTTGTAGAGATTTGTGTCTTCTTTTATTCTGTGAAGAAAGGAAGCTAAACCCAAATAGTTAAATGCTTGCATTTTGAACTCTAAATCGAAAATTGTTTTATTTTTAATGAGATTTAATGGTTAATGACATTTGCAGAATGATACCCCATATGACTAAGCGTGGAGCGGCGGCCCTTGCTCGTTTGAAGGCTTACGAGGGTATTCCCCCCCGTATGACAAGATTAAGTCCCTGATGTTCTTAGGCAAGTTTCTCTACTAACTTTCATTTTTTTTTATTGTAATGTAATCCTTTGAATTTTGTTCTAATATTTTTTGCTATCTTAAAAAAAAAAGGGTAATTATAGCCTTGAGGCTTCATAAGGGGCACAAGTACTGCTTGTTAGGCCGCTTGTCATCAGAGGTTGGATGGAACCATTACGACATCATCAGGGTGAGCTTATCTTTCATTCAGTGCTTTTCTATAGACTGTCCTTAAATTGATCTACGCCTTTATGAGTTATGCCTTGAATTTTACTTCAGAGTCATTCTTTTAAACCTCGAAGATATGAAGTTGATAATTTGATTGAAGTTTTGTTTATAATTATACCTTGGACTCCAGGAGCTAGAGAAGAAGACGAAGGAAAGGGCCCAGGTTGCATATGAGAGGAAGAAGTAGCTGAATAAGCTTAGGGTAAAGGCTGGGAAGGTTGCGAATGAAACACTTATCTCTCAACTAGACATCTTTGCTCCTGAACTTCTAGTGGCTAGCTAGTTTCTTACAATTTTGTTGGTTTCAGTGTTTAATTCTCTTCCAGATGTGAAGGCTGAAAATTTGTTGAATCTGACTTTCTTGTTTTCCTATTTTGGCCGTAGGATTCTTTCAATATGTTTCAAATATGCTTTACCAACAGTTCATGCACTAACGCTGGCAGTGTTTTATTTGCTGTTGAATTTTATATGTTTTGATCACTGAGATGGTTGTGCGTGGATTCATCGTTAGCAAACATAGACAGTTTATAAATTATGATTTTGTTATCAATTTCCTGTTTTCCAAAGAGTTTAGTGTAGCACTTGGAAGTTGGAACTTAGTTCATTTCATCCGTACATCCCTCTTCGAGAGACAACATTTAATAGATATAAGTTTAAATTTTAGCACTTATATTTTTTTTATCTCTAGCTTACGTATTTTTGTTTAAAAAAATAAAATAAAATAAAAGTGGTGTTGATATGCATTCTGCACTGGTGAAAATTCGATTTCCCATTTCTTATCAATCACTTCCTTGCCAGGAGTTGGGAAGTCAGGGACCAAAACTGTAGTTTTATTGGTGTTGAAAGAAGGGCTAACGAACTTAAAAGGTATAAACAACCAGGCATATATGGTAGTTTCTTACTGCAAGAGAAAGAAGCTATATTATAGCTTGATCACAATTCACAAAACTGGATCTATTCAATAGTGTCATAACAGATTTAACAGGTTCTTGAAAAATCAAGTGGAAAAATTTTGCTATTTAGATCGCAGATTAGGAAAGAATTAGTTCATAATTTAATGAGAAATATTGATTGTGAAGGTTCTTAAAAGCACCTTTTAGTGATCGATTATCAATCAATTATCAATAGATTATCGATAGATTATCGATATTTTTATCAATAAATTATCAATTGAATTACCGATGGAATTATTATCAACAGAATTTATAAATAAAAAATTTTATTGAAAAATTATTGACAAATTTTACACATTATCGATGAAATAGTATTACTGATTTTTTTATCATTGACGAAAAATTTCAATGAAAAAGATGCTATTACCAATGAAAAATCTCATGATAAAAGTGAATTTTCTATAATGATGAAAAATAGTTGATTGAGTGATGATTTTATAGTTTGTAACAAAAATGCCTTTATAAGGCCTTTCTAGAAAAAAGAGGCTTCACTAATTCTTTGATAACAGGAAGAAGATCAAAATAATGTACAGCAATTGGTAACATTAAAGTAAAGCTATTATACATCTTCCTTCTTCTGCTTCGTGTTAAAGGAAAGCTTGGACATGGACATTGCATGATATTCACACTCTTGTACTGAAGCCAGCAAACGTTAACGATTTTCCTCTCATTTTATATTTTTTTAATTATAATTTTTATTTTATTTTAATTTAAAATGATTTTAAAAAAAATAATATGTCAAATCTCACTTTTTTATCGATTAATTTTTATCATATCATAAGTTTTATTAAACCGTTAGTTACTAGAATAATAAAAAAAAGTGAAATTCGATAATCTTATTGAAAATTTTTATTCTTTAAACACTAAATGGATAGAAATAATATAATTTAAATATCAAATTACTAATAAAGAAATAAAATAGTGTCTATTTTATACATTTTTCTTGAAAAAAAAAAAGTAAATCCTTTATTGATATAAAATTAATTAATTAAGACAAATTTGAGTTGTTTAACTCAATTATTGAAAACAATGTCAGTCGTGTTCCCATACTTTTATTAGCACTGCATTCGGTCCGGCTGTAAATAAAAGCAAAAGATTTCCAAAATCAAAGACACCAAATTAATCTTTACCAACGTCACTCCTTTTAGCTAGCTTAACTCTTTTTTTCTTTTTTAATATTCATAATTAAAAGATTATTCATAATTAAAAAACTAATTGGTAAAAAATTGTAAAAAAACTTTAAAAATAATTCAAAATTTTAAATATTAGTAAATTATTAATTTGAGTTATATTTATTATTTTTATTAAATTAATATTTAAAAATAAAATTATACCTAATTTAAATTTGAATTATTTTCAATCATTTTTGGTTGAATTAATTTTTATTAGAATAAATTCAGATTCAAATTATTTCAAATACTCAAATAATTTTAGATTCACATTATTCATGGATTTGAGTTATTTCTAGATAGAATTGAACAAGCTCAAATCATTAACTTTTTTATTAAATTGAATTGGTTTAATTTTAATTCGAATTAGATAAAATTTTTAATTTGAATTAATTTAGATGGATATATATAGCATAATTGATGAAATAGATTTTCATTGATGATGCGAAGAAATTTAAATTAAATGATGGATATTGAACGATAGATGAAGAATTAAAATGAAAGCTGCTTAAGGAAACAACCCATCTGTTTTCCAAACAGCATCCCCTTTTGTTAAAACATTTTTGTCAACTTTTGTTACTAGCAATTCCACTTTAGTTTGTCGCAGTTATCACCTCCCTTACAAAGGCTAGCACTAGCAAGGAAAAGAGTTTCCAATAATAATAGTCTGATATAATATAGTCTCCAATAATACCATTTACTTATACTTAATTTGACATTATTACACAATTTATATTAAGATGTTTGATATAAGTCCAATATTGACTTGCAAAAGATTCCCGAAATCAAGGAGCAAAAGAAAGAAAGAGAAACAAAGATCATTCAATACAATACAATTCATCTTTAACCAACTTCACTTGTTCCTGCTAACCCAAACTCTTTTCTCAATTTTCTCTACTCTCATTTCTTCCCAAATTCTTTTTTCTTTTTTTTTTCTTCATTTTGGATTCTGAGAGGTTTGATTTTGGATGGATTTGTCAAAGTCAGATATATTTTCACAATTTCTTATTTACAATATTATTTTAACTAAAAATATAAGGTTTTCATGTTCCATTCCAATTTGCTTTTTTCTTTCCAAGAGGTGAAAGCTTAAATATTAAATAATTAGTACTAGGGCTAGAGGCGCACTTACTACCTTTAAGGAAAGATGTGATTGACCTTCCACTACCCGATGAAATTTGATTTTAAAATTTATAAAGTCCAATCTCCATTAATTGGTTTTTGCACCCTTTAAAGTTGTTGTTAATATCGCCATTATCGGGGAGTTGTTGGAGTAAACGCTAAAAAATAATATTAAAAATCAAGGGGAAGCTTGTTGGAACGTTCCTCCTCTCATAGTTTTTAATTTTTTGAATGATTATTATTCAACATATCTTCTACCCACCTCAAACTCTTTTCTCTATTTTCTTTACTCTCATTTCTTCCCCTAATTTCTTGCGAGAACGCAATCCAATCATGTCTTTGCTTGGAGCCCTGTCCACTATACGAGAAGTTGTTGTCTCCAAGTTCTTTGACTATCTCTTAGACAAGTTGGGTTCTTCTGAATTCCTGCAATTTGTCAGTGAAAAGCAGATTCAACTGGAGCTGCAGAAGTTGAAGAAGGAATTGTTGGAGATTCGTGCGCTGCTTGATGACGCCGGGGAGAGGCAGATCAAAGATCAATCTGTGAAAATCTGGTTGTCAGACCTCCAAAACTTAGCATACGATGTGGATGACATTGTGGACGAGCTTGAAACCGAAATTGCCAGGCGTAATTTGATGTTGGAACGTCATGGTAGCTCAACTGAGAAACCTAGACTCATTTCTGAGACATTCAATGTTGTTTTGTTTAACAGAGGCATGATGTCAAAGATAAAAGATATCACTGCCAAATTGAAAGATTTAGAGCCTCGGAGAAATCAGTTACAACTGAGAATGATTGACTGCTCGAAATCCAACATAATAAAAGAAAGGCAGCAGCCTACTTCTCTGGAGATTGAAACTCTGGTGTGTGGCAGAGATAAAGACAAGGAGATTATACTTGAATTGGTCTTCAACAGTGATGATGAAGGAAATTTTGTGATTCCCATCGTTGGCATGGGAGGGATCGGTAAGACAACCCTGGCCCAGCTTATTTACAATGATGCTACTGTTCGTAATCATTTTGATCTCAAAGCATGGGTTTGTGTTTCTGAAGATTTTGATGTCACAAGAATAACAAAAACAATTTTTCAAGCTGTCACTTCTGAGCCATGCAATGACAATGATTTGAATTCTCTTCAAGAAAAATTAAAGAATAAGTTATCAGGAAAAAATTTTTTGATTGTTTTGGATGATGTCTGGAATGAGAATTATCATGACTGGACCATTTTGCAGTCTCCTTTTCTAACAAGGACTCCAGGAAGTAAAATTATCATGACAACAAGAAGTTTTGCTGTTTCATCTACAATGGGTGCTTCTCATTCTCATTCTTTACAAGTTTTGTCAGAAGATGATTGTTTGTCTGTATTTGCTCAACATGCATTGGGAGCAAGAGATTTTGGAAGACATCCAAATCTAAAAGAAGTTGCTGAGAAAATAGTGAGGAAGTGCAATGGCTTGCCTTTGGCTGCTAAAATCCTTGGAGGCTTGCTTCGTACTAATGTTGACCATGATGCCTGGAAAGAAATATTAGAGAGTGAGATATGGAAGCTATCAGACCTTCGGTGTGGTATAATTCCGGCTCTCCAATTGAGTTACCATCGTCTTCCTCCACATTTGAAGCGGTGTTTTGCATATTGCTCCATTCTTCCTAAGGACTATGAATTTCAAGAGAGAGAAATAATCTTGTTATGGAGGGCAGAAGGCTTTTTACAGGAAGCAAGAGATAAACATAGCATTGAAGATCTAGGCCACAAGTATTTTAGAGATCTAGTATCAAGGTCTCTTTTGCAAATATCAAATAAAGATAGATCTCGATTTATTATGCATGACCTCATCAATGATTTGGCTCAATCAGTTGCCGGAGAAATATGCTTTAGAATAGACGGTGATCAGAAAATTTCAAAGTACGCTCGCCACTTATCTTACATTGGTGGCGAGTTCGATGGCATCAAAAAATTTAAAAGCTTAGTGAAGCACAACATTTACGTACTTTTTTGCCATTTAGGCTGTCAAATTATTCGAGTTGCTGGATAACTAATGATGTTCTCATGCATTTGTTGCCAAATTTGAGATGCCTAAGGGTGCTTTCTTTGAGAGGGTATGTAATCTGTAAGTTGCCGGATTTCATCGGAGATTTAAAACACTTACGGTACCTAGATTTTTCTCACACTCCCATTAAGTGCTTGCCGGAGTCTGTAAGTACCCTCTATAATCTAGAAACCCTTTTATTAAGGGAGTGTTTGAATCTTGAGAAGCTACCTTCGGAGATGGAAAACCTAGTCAACCTATGTTATCTTGATATCACTGGTGCATATAGCTTAGAAGGCATGCCGAGTAATTTTTGTACACTAAGTGATCTTCAAACACTATCCCATTTTGTTTTGCAAAAGGGCAAAGGATGTCAAATAAGGGAGCTAGAGGGTTTACCAAATCTCAAGGGTCAACTTTGTGTTTCAGGGTTGGAGAATGTGGTTGAAACTCAAGATGCATGGGAGGCTAAGTTACATGAGAAATCAGGACTGGATAAGTTAGAATTGAAGTGGAGTGGATGCTTTGAGAATAGAAGAGGAGATATTGAGAAAAACGTGTTGCATTTTCTTCAACCTTCCAAAAAGCTTAAGGAGCTTGCCCTCGAGTTCTATTGTGGTGTGAGGTTGATGGAATGGATAGGAGATTCTTCATTCAATAAGTTACTATCTTTATGCCTTGATGATTGTCCAAATTGCACATCATTGCCATCAATTGGGCAATTGCCATTGTTGAAAAAATTACGCATCAAGGGATTGGACAACGTAACTAGTGTGGGAGTGGAGTTCTTTGGAAAGAATGCGCCAAATGCATTTCCTTCGTTGGAGACCTTAGAATTTGAAAACATGCTTAAATGGGAAAACTGGAACTTTTTTGAAGTTAACGAGGAAGCTAGGAAATATCCTAAACTTCGTGAGCTTAGTATTGTGAATTGCCCAGAACTGTTGGGGAGTATTCCGGAAAATCTTCCTTCTTTGGAGAAACTTGTGATTTCTTATTGTAAGAAATTGGTGATTTCAATTCAAAGCTTTCCAATGCTTTCAGAATTGGATGTTCGAGGGTGCCACGAGGTACTGTATAAAGGTTTTAGAGACAACAGCTCATTAAAAAGAGTGTGCTTTTCAAGAATTCCCAAGTTTACTTGTGTAGCAGAATGGTTGACATTAGGATCAATAAAAGTAGATTCCCTTGTGATCGACGATTGCGAGGAGTTGTGCTCTTTGCAAGAGAATAATTGGGGATTACTAACTCAATCTATGTCACTTAATGAATTGAGTATTGGAAAGTGGTCGCAGCTTGTCTCCATAGGGGCAGAAGAGGAAAGAGAAGAATTGATGCAACTGAAGATCCCTTGCACAATTCAAAAACTAACAATAAGGGATTGTGAAAGGTTGGAAAAGCTGTCAACTACCTTGCACTTCGTCACATCACTTAGGATGCTAGTGCTTTGGTATTGCCCAAATCTGATTTCTCTTTCAAACAACAATTTGCCTTCGAATCTAAAATGCCTAAAGATTGAAGGTTGTGTAAATTTACGGTGTTTGTTGGAAGAGGGAGAGCATGTTAACCTCAGTAGTGCATGTCCTCTTGAGCAGATGAATATTAGCTATTGTCCATCTCTGATTTCTCTTTCGAAGAACAATTTGCCTTCGAATTTAAGAAGCCTAAAGATTGAATGTTGTGTAAATTTACGGTGTTTGTTGGAAGAGGGAGAGAATGTTGACATCAGCAATGCAGGTCTTCTTGAGCAGTTGGATATTAAGGCTTGTCCATCTCTGGTATCTTTATCATCAAAAGGGGAGTTACCTACGAGGCTTAAACAACTGGCAATATACAGTTGTGAAAAGCTAGAGTCCATAGCTCAAGAAATTCAAGATAACTCTTCTCTTGAAAGTATTATTATAAAGTGGTGCAGTAATATTAAGTATTTACCTCAAGGATTGAACAAGCTCAGCCATCTCCGGTGCATACACTTGGGTAATTGTTCAAATTTGGTCTCCTTTCCAGAAAGTGGTTTGCCAACCTCAAACCTCAAAGTGCTCTGCCTCTATTCATGTGAAAAACTCCAAGCTCTGCCAGACTGTATACACAACCTCAGCTATCTAGAAGAATTAGAAATAAAAAATTGCTCAAGTCTGACATCCTTCCCAGAAGAGGGCATTCCTACTAATCTCAGACAACTTACCATCGAAGGACCCAACATTTGTAAGCCACTAATTAAGTGGGGATTGCATAGACTCACTTCTCTTAAATCTCTCAACATTTCAAATGTATTGTTTCCACAAGAAGAGATACAAATGACGCTGCCCTGCTCTCTCACCCATCTCACCATCATCAATTTTCCAAAACTAGAAACCCTATCCTTCAAGGGCTTTCATGACCTCACTTCTCTAGAGTACTTGTCCATTGATTCTTGCCCAAATCTCATGTCTCTTCCGGAAAAGAAAATGCTTTCTTCACTTTTGCAGCTATATATTTGGATATGTCCAGTGCTAAAAGAACGGTGTGAAAAGGATAAAGGATCAGAGTGGTCCAAGATAGCCCATATACCTTGTGTGGAAATTGATAACAGACACATCCATGATTCCTGCTAACTCTATTTCAGAGGATAATGGTTCAAACAACAATTCTTCAAAGCAGCGAACTTTAAAAGAAAACTAATAATGACTCAAAGTGGCAGGTATGTCAATTTCGAGTTTATTATAACCCTTACAAATTTTTTTACGATTATAGTGTTCCTTACATCTTGAAATTTATACATTAAAGAGAAAGGTAAACACTTTGAATTTATTTTATTAATCTTCAGACATTTATTTTTTTTTAGGTTCTTGGTCCTTTGATTTTTTTGCATTAATTCAAAAAGAAATTGAGATTTTTGGTTATTTTTGCAGGATATGATACTAACCATTACCTTATCTAAATTGCTTGTTATCTGCTGAGGGTAAAGATTGAAGTTGCAGAAAAGGATTTTCTTTGGTTTTTTTGGGTAAGTAAAGTGATTTTTTTTCTATAAATAAAGTCATCTCATAGCAAACCATCCATACTTTGGCATTAAATTAACACCTTTGACGCAAAAACCCCCCGATTTCGATAACACAAGTATAGCTCTTTCTATATTCAATCTAAATATTTACTATTTTGGAGCATTAGCAAATTTGTTTTTATCATATTAATGGTTGAATTGAAAACACTAAAGTAGAGGCTAGTCAAGTTAACCATGCCATTGTTATCCGTCCTTTAAACTATGATTTAGTCTATTTGGTTTTTGTAGGACCTACCAACTATGGATGTCTGGAAGGTTAAATGATTTGTGAGACCATAGCTGCAGTTGTGAAAATGACATTGGTTGCATCTTGTAACTTGAACTCATCTCCTTTATCAAGAGTTCCGGACTAGGATAACTAATGGTTCTTTCATTTTATTGAAAAGAAACAGAAAATCCAGGTATGTCTTTTTGAAAACAATAATTTTTTCACGTTAACAATATTTTTGGGATAATTTTACATGTTTTAGTTTCTTCTATAGCTAATTGAACATGTAATTATTGGGAGTTATGATCCATCACTGCAACAGTTTAAGAAGCCCTCATTATTTGTTCTTGCAGAGTTCTTGTGCTAATTTGTGAAATAACAGCCTTTCACCTAAGAATACATGGATAAAAGATTCTATTATTAGAAGGTGGAATCATTTCATCTCATGGAGAAGAAAATGGCATAAGTAAAGAGTATACCTTTTTCCATATTTGCAATGAAACATAAGTAAGGAAGTTAAAAACTACATTTTGTTTTTCTCTTTTGCACTACTTTAAATAACCTTCATTATTTATATATTTACAATTGTACATTGCCAACAGAATGGTGCAACGGAAGGTGACAAAGAACAAGAGTCGTTCAACATTGTCCACGTGCTCTTTTCCAAATTGATGATAGTTTCATATGTTATCAAGAGGAATTTGACTAAAATCAATTACAGGATGTCCCAGGTATGACAATTTGGAAATGCATTGGAATAGTTGTAACACTTAAAACTTTAGGAGGATTTCGGTCCACAATTATATATATGATATTGCATATAAAAATCAATTTTGAGAAATTTGCATTGCCTCTGACCAATTCTTGCATATGTTACATGTGGCATAGAAAGGTTCAGTTTATTTTGTTATATATTTCAAAGATGAAATTGATTGTATATTCATCTATGATCCAGAGAAGTCAAATTGAAAGCTGTTTAATCTCTGAAAAGTAAAGGGAGGAATCAGGGATTACAAATTTACATTATCCTTTGCTTATACTCAAGGTTAGGTATTTCAATTTGTAAAAGCTTTTCCACTTTCCTCCTAATGGATTTCCAATTTCAAAAAACATTGCTGTTCATCTTACTTCCATTTTGAAACTTACACGATATTATAATTGTTCATTTTTCAGGCGTGCAAGGAGTCTGTACCACCTGTCACATGGATCTTTGTCTGGTGTCTGTCTTTCCTGTCAATTTGATTTTCACCCCTTTTTAGCATGAAATGACATTAATTAAGACCGGCATCCCAACTTTGAGTTAGGAAAGAGGGAACTGATAATTTTCAGTTTACAGGCATTCATGGAAGTTGCAGAATGTGCAAGACAATGTAGATGGTAAGAAGCTAGTTTTATTTAATGTTCAGGCATTTACGTATTTATAGCTTCGTTTTTGTGCTTCAATTTCAGTAATTTCAGTCGAATTGGAGCTCAATGAAGGTCTAGAATCCAGTTCCATACTGAAAAAAAGGTGTAAAAATGGATGATGGGAGGAAAAGATAATTACCAACAGAAATAATACTTTTTCTGATCCAATGGTAAAATTCAAAGATTTGCTAATTCTGAAACCTTTGATAAGGTCTTTTATTCCTAAATGCTTCTTATTTGCATGTTAAATTACAAAACTTTATTATTAATTGCTTTAATTGATAGATATTTTAAAAAGTCTTTTATGTTTTCATATCATTTGATTATTTCTCAAAGAAAGAGTATTTGTTCTTGTTGCATGTAGTTTAACCTATATTGCAATTTCTAAGAAATTGACAAGAAACCTTTAATTTTTTCCATTTTTTTCTTTTGATTGTGATAAAACTTGAACCAGGGAACGTAAAGAAGATAAAAAACGGTAAGTGGCAATGCAGAGCAGATACTGTTTCTTACCAGAACAGGCAATGTAGCACGTATATTGTTTCATACCAGAACAACTGAACAGATGCATTGAGCTTATGCTTTATGGAGAAGCTTCCCTGCCTGTGCCTCAATGTCTGAGAAATGTAGATACTTTACCAGCAGTGACATTGAACCTAGGCATCAGTAAGTGACACCATTGACGCAATGATTAAAAGAAACACCTGAGCTTTTTCTCCTGTTTTCGACTAAACCATCTTACCTTGTTGAGTTAAACCACTTATGTTTGGAGATATGATATATCCAGGTTACAAGCATGTTAAACCACTTAAAAGATGGCGGGTAACGAAATACTGGTATCTTGCTTTATGATTTTGGGTAGCATGGAGATGCTGATAATTATGATTTGCATCTGAAATTCAAATCTTGAAGAAAGTATCTGAAGTAATCTTGATGTTTTGAAATTAATTTTGTGGGCAGTGTGCAAGGTTTACAAATTACAATCTGTGAACACAACGATTATAGTAGCCAGCTAACTCAAGTTAGAGATCAGGTATAGTTCATATCTATACAATATTTTGTTCCATCTGATTGGAACACTAGTAAATGAAAGTTCCAAACCATTAATCCTGCTTCTTGAAATAGAGGAATATTGAATGCTCCTTTCACCTAAAAGAATGAACTAAATTTCTCCTGGATCTCTCTGTGGATTTGACTTTCTGGCCTATAAAAGGTTTGTTCTTTCTCCAAGACTTTTACATGTTATTTATATTGATATAATTGAAAAAAAATGGAGCATACTGAGCTTTGATTGATTTATATACATGTTATCTTTTAAATACATGGAGGTTTAATTTGATTATTGATTTTGGTTGCAGTTCAAGTTGCAGAAGCGTTCGTTCTACAAAACCAAATGAAGTAAGTTTAGAAATGCAGTGTTCAACTTTATGTTAAACTAGCACAAAGGACAACTGGAAAAAGTGAAGGAACAGAGGTTCCAAGAACTGTGACAGATAGAGTTGTTGCTTGATTGCTGCATGTGCGCACTTGAGAAGGCCTCAGCAAGCACCTTAGAGAATCACACCTGCTAGGGAGATTTCAATAAAAGCTTCATGAAAGACCAACAACCTTTGCGGTGGCAGTGTCAATATCAATTTCATAGGAGCAAGGCCTTGTTGGTAGCCCTGGGCATTGTGCATATTGTACCAACTAAAGGACAAATAAACCCAGCTTCTATGCTGGCTCTTACATCCCTTATTGGTAAAGTTAAATACACTTGTCACTCCCTTCTCCGAGGCATCGTGTGAAAATGAGTACTATGTTTTTGCCATGCAGATTGGTATCAGAAAACCCTTGTCCGGCGTACATCTCAATCTGTTTCTCAGCCGGATTTGACAAAAAGAAAAGACAGTGATTATGGTAGCAGGCTAACTCAAGTTAGAGATCAGGTATAGATCAAATCTAAACAATATTTTGTTCCATTTGATTTTAACATGAGTAAATCAAAGTTCGAAACCATTAATCCTGCTTCTGGAAATACAGGAATATTGAGTGCTTCTTTCACGCAAAAGGATGAGCTAAATTCTCTCTTGAATCTCTCTGTGGATTTAGCTTTCTGGCCCATAAAAAGGACTGAAAAGGTTTATGTAGAGGTTAGTTTCCTTCTCCAATACTTTTACATGTTATCTATATTTACATAATTGAAAGAGAAATGGACCATACTAAGCTCTGAATGACTTAAATACATGTTTTCTTTTAAATTCATGGAGGTTTAATTTGATTATTGATGTTGGTTGCAGTTCAAGTTGCAGAAGCTTTTCTTCTAAAAAAGCAAATAAAGGAAGTTTAGAAATGCAGATACTTGCAACAATCAGCAAATCTTGATAGGTAGAAGGACAATGCTACAATGATTTATCTGCTGACACTACCATTCACCATAGCCATGTGCAGCTTGGTGGGCTACTATCAACTTCTCTGCCTCTTAAGATTTGTTAATGGTGATACTAACATCAGTGGCACAATCATCCAAACCAGGGAAACAAAAATCCCTCAAAAAATGGTGATGTATTTTACTATTACTACATGGAAGATTAAACTCAAATCATCCAAAACTTTCTTTCTTGGTATGTAATCAGTTTGAACTTTGAAGTGATCTTTCTGTCTTCCCTTAACACATATGTTAATACAGATTCCAATTTGAACTTTGAAAGTTGATTTCATTTTCAGAAGAATTCTTGTCCCAAATTTTGAAAAATTTGTGCATTCAAGGATGTGACTAGTTATAATTTTTGCTTTAATAATCTCCCAGAGCTGGAGTCAATTGCAATAAAAATTTCACCTCGAGATTTATGAAATGGATAAAAAAAATGAAAAGAAAATTATTGACCGGTGAAAAAAAGGGCAAGATATATGTTACATCTCAAACATATTATCTCTATTCTAAATATCATTGTGAA